CTCGCTTAAGACTGCAAACATACCTTTTAATTTTAACAGCACTGTTGCTTCGTCACTCGTATGTTCTTAGGATTTGCACCCTATTTTTTTTGCGATATTTTTGCTTTTGTTAATTTAAAAGGATTTTTTGTTGTTGAAACGTTCTTTATGGGTGTGGTACCCCGAAAAAAAATAGATTTTCAAATTAAATTGATTATTTTTCTAGCATTACTTTTGTTATGAGCTTTCCAATGAGACATCGAACAAAAAATCGGCCCACGATAAGTAACCAATTAATTAATTTCAACTTTTTTAATTAGGAGCGTCCCGCCCCTAATTCAGTTCTGAAACCAGTGGGTCCGAGTTACGCATGCGCTTTTGCGACAGTGCAGTTATGAATAATAATCTCAACACCACACATCGCGTAGCTAGAATCGGGTCAGGCGAATACAAAACGCATGATTCCAAAATTAACATATTACCTGGCTACCTCACTAGATATGAATATTTATATCATTTCGCTCAAAACTTTCTGAACTGGAGCGCGCTATTTAAAACCACCTTTTTACAACTGTATAAAGACCTGCAAACAAATGCAAAAAAAAGCAAATGTGTTTGTTTCTGGACATGACATTCCCTTAAAATTCGTTCAGAAAAGAAATTCTAAATTTTGAAAAAAAGCACGTAGGCCTATACCAGCTTTAACCAATGTGCAATCGATCCAGCATTGGGCCCGCACGCCATACCTCCCCGCCTATTCCTAGCTCACTCCATCACGGAACTTGTCCCACGTTCAATCGTCAAGGACCAATAATTGGTGCGCCCTTAACTCCCTCATCATGTATAGGCACAAAAACAAGGCACTTTCTAAATTATGAGGGCCTTAATAGACGGGAATATTACAGCTTTTCTTTTGGGGGCCGAAATGAGCTAATTAGGACAAATTGGTCGCCGTGGCTATTAGTGGTGCACAGTGCATGGAAGACGGTTTTTATTGGGAAGAGGAAGAACGGGCCGAGGGAATATTGATGTGATGTTTTATGCGTCAGTGCGTCCCATTGGGGGGGAGAGTGGGATTGTCGAGTGTGAGCCGCGCTATTCACCTGTTGTATCTTCGTTTTATGGGCTTGATGATGATGATGGGGGATGGGTAGGGGACAGCGCTGATGGGAGTGATGAGAAACGAACCGCTACGGTCTTTTGTTATTGCCTACGCCAAATGCTCCCAGAGTCCTTCATGTCAGTGGCGATGTTCTTTTGTATAATTCTAATTATCTTTCTGGCTCAGCAAGGTTTACTCAAAAGTGCACACGCACAGTAGCTCTGGCAACCCGAAGAAATCTAATGAGAGAAAAAATATTGTATGGAAATTTTCATATTTTGGAGTGGGAGGAAAAACCTCGAAACAATTGGCATCAGTCAAAGACTGGAAACCCAATCCACATGTCGATCTGAATGAGATTCGAGACCGGGACAAAGACGTGGAATCACCGACCCGGCTCCCCATCCATCCCGCTTTCATCATCATTATCAACTTCATCCACATTTTTAATCTCATCTTTTTCGTCTCTTGTGATATGCATTCAACCATGGCTCCGTGAAAATTAATGCACTGACAATTACCTTCTTTAACAGCGGCCTTCGCCGTGGCGCTCATTTATCCGGTATATTGGTGCTCTTTTAAGGAAAAGAAGAAAATGCCCTCGCCCGTCAAGGACAAAGTTCCTTATTGATGGTCGATGAAGGTGGAGAAGGTCGATGTCGGTAGTTGCCTTTTTTCCGCCGGCAAGTGCCCCACTATAGACACCACTATCGCGACCTTAAATGCCAAACATGAACAAGTTATGTCTGTCTTGAGCCGGTATGGCTCGCCAGACTTCTAGTGTTTATCATAAGACAATGAATTAAGGATGTTCCCATTCTCACTTGATGGGGTGCCGGCCCATCGCAAGTTACTCCCTTGCTAATGCCGGTACCCATTTTGTACACCTATAAGAGTCAAGTAGGTGTAAAGTGGCTTGCCAGAGGACACAATGGTACAATCTAAAAACTGTGTTTAAACACAATTTTACTATCACTTTATAAACATGTTTAGAAGCCAAACATTTTGTTCAATTCCTAAACGTCACTGTTCAATTGCTAAACACTATCCCTCCTCACTCTAAACATGTTTAGTATTTAAACATGTTTACAAACTGATAGCAAGAAAGTGTTTACAAAAGTGTTTAATTGCTAAAGACAGTTTTTGCAGTGTATAGCCCGTAGCTGGAATCGAACCCAAGACCACCCTATAGGTCACAATCCATGACTTCTAGGCCACACTCCCTAATCCACAGAACCACCTTTGTAATATCACCAAGCAAAGATCACCGGTTCGATGTCGTGTTTGACCTCTCGTATACCGGCCGGCGACCCGGTGTCGTTGTTTGGATGACCGGCCCGTTGCAGGTGTTTTTGTCGCAACCGTGGGTCCAATATTATCATCGCTATCGTTTCCGAGGTCAAGTCTGCCAGTCACACGCTGTACCTAACCACTACTTCTAATAATTACAATGTACATTAAATATCCCATCCCAACACTTTACATGAACGATATTGAGGCTTGACATTTTTCCCACACAAAAAAAGTGCAACCAAGTTTTTGTCTTGTCAAAAAGGAATGATTTATTTGGATGCCTTATGCCGCCTGTCCGCGGCCTCATTAATTGATTACAAAGAATTGTTTTGTCCCAAGCGAGTAGGCTGGAAATAAACACAGCCTGTATTTTGTGGGACTGCAACTGTTCGCTTCCAACAAAAGGACCATCAGCCCATGAAGTGGCGGGAGAGGTGAGCTTGCCGTTGCCTAGCAACGGGATGCCTCTCGTGTGGCGCGCCACTCCACGACACCACAAAAGCACCGGGGCACAATGATATCGTTATGGGAGAGGTGCCCGCCATTGCGGGCTAAATTTGGAAAGGAGATCAAAGTAGACTCTGCTCAAGTCGTCTTCCACGTACTATAATTACCTAACATCGCCACAGAATTATACCATTGTAAAACTGCCACATAATACAAAACGGGGCACATTTCAAATTACACGTATACCTAGTGACTGGCAAAGTCACCATAATCATCTCGAAAATCACCCATCGGTCGATTACAAAGGTTCAGTGACTTTAGCATTATCAACCAAAGAAACCATGGAAACAATATGTACACCTTTTGGGAAAAAAAGATTAATAAATAAAAGCCTTTTATGGAAATTTGATACAATCTAACATTGTAGACATGTGCACTAGGCCATACTGTTTGGGTTTGGGCTTGGTCAATCAATGAACAAGATGCGTTTCGGGTATATTTGAGAAAAAAAAACACATCTCGTCCCATGAAATTTATTTTTATCTTCTGTAGGCCCAACTTTTTTCCGTGGACCAAAATATGATCGGGTGTTGTTTAATATACAGGGACACCATTGTCTGTCACTACCCCAGGCCCATCATGCATGTAGCCATCCACATCGATTTAAAATAACAAAAAAAAAACTCTCATTTTATACAACACTCCAATCATGACACAGGGCCCATAATCAAGGTTTTATTTGATGTCCTTTCTCTCCGTTTTTTTTCTTTGCAATTTTTTTGGCTGGGGAACAACAGAGTAGCTGACAAGCCAAGCTGCGTGCGGGATACCGTCAAATTAGGCAAGAGCCCCCGGTAGCGTTGGCAACGGGAGAGGCAACAATCAACTCCATACTGCAGCATCGGGCTTTTATTTATCGCATCGTTTCCACCCGAACGAACCTTTTGTGGTGGGCATTATTTTTTTTTAGTTCCGTGACTGGCGCGTGTGGGGGTAATCATTCGCCTCTGTAGCGCGGCCGGGGATTGGGGGACGGAGACGGGTTGTCATGGCGGTGAGATTCTGGCGATGTGGACGGGAAAGATCGCTGAAAGGAAGGGTTTGTCCCCCGTAAAATGATACTTAAATTTGGAGCAGGCAAAATACTTGATATTGAAAATTTGTGATTTCAAGGGAGCGGACTCACCATTCAATCCCGCGCACTTTGACGTTACAATCGTAATCAAACAAATTACATTGAAGGGTTTTATCTTAAAAAAAAAAATAAGCTGCTCCTTTTGAAAATAATGAGCTACCATTGGCTTAAAAAAAGACGATATTCTACCCAATAGAAAATGAAATGTTATATTGAGTCCACAAAGTGACCTTGAAGAGTCGTTACACATGCCACTAATCGGCAATAATGAACGTCCATGGCGACGGCATGAACTTGGCAGGACAACAATTACAAAACCAAGACCAAAATTGGGATTGCAGTGAGCCTATGCAGCGCCCTCTTGCGGTAACTGTCAATCATTGATTTCCCGCTGCGATATTGTGACGGGTCTCATCGCCGGATACCCGACTTAAACATTGCATCCTTAGCAATACTTTATTAAGTCTGAACACGGTCTCAAAAATCTTTCAGAGCGGATATAGAGCTCTCTCGGCGTATTAAGAAAATGAGATCTTCCAGCGCGTCGTCATTGGCCGATTGACATATCGACGTTTCCGGTCGATTGGGGGCGCTGTCCAATTAAACTTCATTCAAGCACCAGTAATTTGGAATAAATTTGCCAGGTCAAAACAATGTGTTGCTTTTTTCACATCTTATATTTTGATTCGTAAATGGTTTATCTAACAAGTCAAATAACTTTTAAAAATTAACCCACTTGAGCTTGAACCTCAGGAGGGCGTCCTCACAAATGGCAACAAAATGGTACCAAAATGTGGCCAGTTAGAAAGTTCATGGTTCGCTTAATGAGCTCTTCATCTGCAAACACAAAACGAGACAACCCCTTTAAACATTTTCCCTTCTTAACTGCATGCATTATTAACCTCTAATGGGACAATTCAGACAGGATGTTAGCCATTATTAAAGATTTCCTTTCTACCTGACAGTAACTTCAGCCGTAGCAATAGTTTGGAGTAACACTCTTCACACACGACAGATATAATCCTACGTTTGGCTTGTTTGCAGGACTCGGAGGGGACCATCGTGGACCGTGGCTTCAAGCGAGTAGCGGTGGTTGAGGACTTCTTTGATATCATTCACGATGTGCACGTGGGTACGGACGGACGGAGCGGGAAGCACGCCGGCCAGAAGCGAACCTATCGGGCGGTGAGTAGCAAAATTTTGTTCATTTTATGCGCCTATCAATTGTTTTCCCACCCCTCCTCCCTTACTGGCTGCCCCACCCAAGACGTGGTGATTGTCACTTTTGAAGTGACATAATCCCCACCCCTCGGGCAAAATTTAAGTGACAATCCCCAACCATGCCCCGACAAACATACGTGGGGCCCACTTATGATTATCTTTCCATGTAGCACGCCAATGGTATCGGTAACAATGTAATTTCAGTGACCAAAATTCCCACCCTGGGGCATGAAAAACGTGATCAAATCCCGACATCGCACCTGGGGCAGCGCGGGGTGGGTGGGGGGGGGGAGGCGCGCGTGCGATTTTTACAAGTTGTTACCCGGTTGATAATCAAATTTGTTTATCTGAGCTGGATGGGCAATCTCCATAATTATTTGACTGGTGTTACCTGTCTATTATTAATCTCAATTTTTGTGGGAAACAACTCGTGACTTTAGGGTGCAGGGTTCGATTCAAGTAACTGGCGCCCTACTTCATGTCCGTGAGTAGCGGCCTAGGCTTGAACTGCACTTGCCTCTCTCTAGCTCTACCAAAGAATTAATGGTTACCGACATTAGAAGGAGTGTAACCTGCTACGGACTGGCAACCCATCCAGGGGGAATCGGGAAAAAATCACTGTCATTTCAAATCAAGGAAACCATGAATAAACACCAGCTTGGTATGCGATACGAAACACGGAACAAATTAAACTGCTACTTATGTTTACCACCGGCTGGAATTGTTGCCAACTCTGCCTGAGTCAGTCGGCCCGGTTGATCCAGACCAAGATGGAGAGTGGAAATGAAGATCGCCTCGGGCCGAGTCTTCTGGGAGACAGTTATTACAACAATCTGGACGACAGTGACTGATGTCATCGCTTCCGAGAGCCAGCTGAAGAAGACGCCCTTCTTTGACGGGGAGTTTGCACCCTAGAGTAAACCGCCAAAGGTTGGGTCTACACCGGGATCCAGTGCGGATATAACTTCAAGCAGGGATGGTTAATCCCCGTGTTCGCCGGTCAATTAGTCCCGTCATCGATCAGTGGAGATGACACCAGTGGTTCGCATCAACTGCAAATTGACTCTTAAAGAAACGAGAAGTCAGATAAGGATGGCAGACCGGTGACCTATGACCTCATGTGTGTGAAGACAAACAACGCCCTCCTCAAAGCTTCTGAAATTGCATGCCGTGCAATCGATTATGCCTTTCCGGTAGTCTGAGCTGATTGGCCAGTAAGTTTGAAGTGGAACACAAACTGCGTTCAGTGTAGGCCTATAGTATCTTGAAACAGTAACTGACTGGCTGTGGGAGTAATCAACATCGAAACACCCATATACCGAAGACACACCACAAAAATTACAATGCAAAAAATGGTTCTAAGGTAAATGAGACACAAAGGTACATCTCCTGGGTACCATTACGGATTCTTAAAATCTTCCTTGTTGTTGGTCTCGGTTTCAGATTGCGGAGACGTACGCCTTCCTGCCCCGCGAGGCCGTCACACGCTTCCTCATGAACTGCAACGAGTGCCAGAAGCGCATGCACCTCTCGCCCAATCTCGCCGAGCCTCGCGAGAACGGTGACGTCACGGAGGAAGCCAACGGCAAGAGTTGCAGCAGCAGCAACAGCAACAACAACAGCAGTGGCGGCGGGGCGGCGGGGGATACGAACATGGACTACAGCCTGCCGATTACCACCACGTACTTGAACCAGTTACGGAACATGAGATTGGCTAACAACAACAATAACAGCAACGAGGTAAGACATTTTGCCTTCCGAGTTCTGGGTGAATCAAAAGTTTTCAAGAAAAATCCGATACCAGTTTAGCAGGGCTGGTAACGACCTTTCACGTGATTTATATCAGGCAAATGTAGGCCTATCGTGCATGAGCAGAATGAAGAACAAAACGTCATTAGAAAAGTATTTAAGCTCTTCCAATATTGCTTCCTCAAGTTGACAGACACTTATTTTATCGGTCGTGCAGACCCGAAAGTAGAAAGACTAGAAATTCACTCAAGGACCGTTTCTGAATCCTTGGCTACGGCTACGGCACTGTCTTTGCCCCGTGAGCCATTCTGAAGACATCAGCTGAGCCAGAGTCAAGCCGAGGTTTCGCGAATGTCGATGAACCCATTACTTCAATATGTGGATCCGTATATAATTTCGTTGACGTCACTCCCACTGTTATTTTACGATCTTACCAAACCAGACATTCTCGTAAATGATTAAAGTTGTTTAGCCTGCAGCGCTTTGACATCGCCTTTTCTTCTGGGAACCAGACCAATATGGTCCCGGAGCGATAAATATCAGCCGAAATAGCAGTATTAGTCAGTGCTTTGGCTGTTAGTCGGTTCGTGGGAATTTGCGTAGGGAGTTGTGGGAAGAAGGGATTGGGAATATAGGCTAAAATAAATATAAAATACAGGAAATGCGGGGAAATATTCGAGGAACCACCTTGTGACGTCAACGTTTAGCGCGCATTTTGCATAGTATCAGTTCAAGCGCTCTGCCTCGCACCTCCTGAGGATTCGCTGGTTTTCATGTGCGGGGAATGGTTTTCTGATACGCAGAGCGCCTGGAAAAGAGGTCGAAATTAAGTGATTGACACTGAGGTCAAGTTGACTGCCGGTGCTTGATGGTTATTGGCACGCACACAAGATGTGGTCATATCGTAGTGTGTCAAAATCCGTTGTTAAAGTCAGGACTTAAACGACCTGGACAGCTACTGGAGAAAACTGTGATTGACAAGTTTGCCTGGAGCATAAAAGGGATACCTCTTGGGCCGACACTGTAAGAGACGGCTGACAGCGCTGCTGAAGTGTCTAGCTAGCTCGACGCCATGGATTGTAATTGTTGCTGTTTTGACTGACAAATTAGATTATTGACAAAGGAAGTTGAACATTCAACAATGACCTAACGAACCATGAACTCTCTGTTCTGATCTGACATACTTTTCCGAATTCCCCATTTCGATTATGGATAAGATCTTCAGTTCGCAGACTGAACATCTTTTAGTTTGGTCTTCAAGTTCCTTACAGTGAACTTACAGAACAAAGATTTTTTTTAAACTGTAAATGATTTTTAAAAGGCCGTAAGACAAAAAAATGAAGATTCTTTTATTTGAAATGATACCCTCATTTTTAATTTCCAACCGCGAAGGCGTACATCGCAAAATCGATTTTTATTTTTCTTCTTGCAAGAGCGCTCCTTTAAACTCCTCATATTAAAGTCCCCTGAAGAACTCAGTCATACATTTCCCGTGAAGAGGGCTTTCATCGTCAACAAAGTATCCCAACCGCGCTACACCGTTGTGATTATGATGTAGCGGAGGTTTTTATCTAATATTGTCCCGTCGGCTTTTGTTCGGCCAGCGGTGATGATGCGATGGCCGGGCGTCGTGCAGACGCAAAGAAGGTCGCGCGCGCGAGGGAAAAGCTGGGCAAGGGGCACATGTAGACAACGGGCCTGTTTGAATAGATACCTAACCACTTGAGATATATCTCTCTGCTCAGGGTCCGATCAGCAAAATGACGAAGATACGAAGGAGAGAGGGAGAGCGGGGACCTCTTAACTCAAGGCCGAGTGCTGCCTATGCCTCCAACCTCTCATTGTGTGGGGGAGATTTTAAGGGTCCTCCGATTGACGGAGAAATTGGCGCGATGGCGAAATCAGATTAGTGATTTGAGTGGGGGCTGGGGAGAGGAGAAGGCGGTGCGATGAACATTCTGAATTGATTTGGAAACATATACAAGGCATCTTGTCAGGAAAATTATGAAAGTCTTGAGATTTGATCATACGACGTCTAGCTTTGTGCAGAGTAGCATCTGCGGAAGTGGGTTTATGGTTGCGAAAAGTGTTGGGCAGAGTCGAAACAAATGACTTCATTTCGTATAGGCCTACAGATAAATCTAAAATAACATGAATACATTGACCTAAATAAAATAGTTTATTAGTTGTCCTTTGAACCTACGTATTTTTGCACTTGCGTCCATCTTGGGATCGATGTTAATTTCCAGCTGAGATCGTTGGGCGCTGTAGTTTTGGCAATCACACAATCTGCTCAGCAGAATGACTGCCGAAATCGACTTTCTGGTTGGTCGTTTGCAACTGATATTGAAAATTGTAATGATGGAGGGCGTCTGGTACTGACATGATAGAGGGCGCGCTTAACAAGCTCGCAATAGAGGGCGCCTGTCATGATAGCTGTATCTAATCGTGCTGAGCAATATATGCATAGTGCAGATGTTTTGAAACAAACGCTTTCTAAACTTTAGATATACGGTAAACTTTCCTTGCCATTAGTCAAAGTAGCACTTCCTTTACAGAACAAAACTTTGTCAACTTCCTGTGCTATTATGTTCGTCTTTTCTGTCCCCCCCCCCCCCGAAAACAGAGCCCTACAAGGGCTTATGCAAATCCGCCTTGACCCAAACGATTCCAAGCAAGACGCGTAAGTTCCTATTCGGCCTAGCTAGCCTACACGATTCTTTTCTTCGACACGGCTGAAGTAACTTCAGAAATCTGTCGCTGGAACAATTTTTGCAGTGTGAACTTGGGTTTCACGAAACCAAACTTGTCAGACCAAATTTAAGCAAATGAGAGATTTTGTCTCAAACGCTTGTTAAAACTCAATTTCTCGTCAACATTGAGACGCACCAACAAGGCAATCAATTTAGTGATTCAATTCGCAACTCATCAGGCAATCGCAGAAGAGCTGACAGTGTCCCTGCGTTCAGTATACAGTATCACTACAAGTATACATGCATGATCGGACTGGGAAGTTGAGACGGGTCGTAAAAACGGGTAACCTGTTTGGCGCCCTCAAGAGGCGCAACTGTCTTTTTTCCCCAAAGTTGAAAAAAAAATCTTGAAATGGGTTCTGGATTCGATTTGCAAGGAATCGTAATTGGCCTCTATTTACTTCACATGGCAGTGTCGGACCCAATTAAAATCACGATTACTTCGAATAGTGCGATACCCATCGACAACTCCAGACTCCAGATTGGTACCGTCTGCGCGTGTCAATGTTTGGTATCATTCCATACCCGAGTATCGATTCCCAAGGGTGTTGAGTTTCGTCTCCTGGAGTCAGCAACTATTCCCTCGGGATTTTCACCCCCGTCGTTCACCGGGTTGGGGGCTGCTAATCCGTGGGGCTCCCCTCCCCTCCTTCCCCCATCAATCGGGACTTGGATTTCCGCTGCTGATCACCTATGGCATTTCACTTCCTTCCATATTTTGCAGATATCGCCCTCACCCTTTATTTAGCGCAGGCCAGAAACGTGGCAAAACATCTCCACATTTTCTCGTAAACAGTAAACATCTGGCCCCATAAGCCGCACGTCAAATAAATTTCGAACCGCCCATTTGCTGCTCTTATTAGAACCATTCAGCAGACTTGAAATGATGGCTGGCTTTGAAGAATTCCTTTACAAAAAAAAATACTATTTTTGGATATTTCTCGTTTACGAGATGCAAAGGAGTTTTGGTGCATGCTTTCACAAAAGAATGAGGCACACGACTGTAGAACAGTGTTCTCTAATGTAATTTGCTGTTAAAAATATCGACAAACTCATGACAGAAACACCGAAGGTTTTTTTTTCTCCTCGCTGTTCTAAAACGACAGCTTTTTAACTCAACTGTAAGTCCCCGGTTTTTTTTATCAGTTTGTATGATTTATTATCGGGCCGATAATTTTGACAGTCGGTGATAAGACTGGCACCAAAGGTATCGCATACTTTCCGATCTGCTTTTCCGCAATTTTTTTTTTCCAACCCAATAATTTGATTAGACCGCGTTCAGATCTGAGATGTTTGAAGCCTATACTTCGGTGCCGAAGTAGAGGTCTGGAGAGACGAGACCTTTAAGTTATATTTGGTGAAATGTCTGACGTCATGCTTGCTTGAACGAGGCTAAAAGTTGTTTTGGGGGGACGATAAAGAAACAAAGAAATTCGGTTGGTAGGTATAGCTCAGTCTGATGTATTCTGTCTTGGATTCAATTGATGGCGCGTTCATTATTTTATTTTTAAACCGCGCAGTGCACGATGGGAAACAACATGGCGCCGCAAGTTTCGTGTTCGTGGGGAAAGGAACTTGGCTCTCCACAGAGGGTCAGGCATTTGAGGTATACATGAATGAACTCAAGGAGTCAAATTGGGGAGCTTGACCTCTTGAAAAAATTCTTCTTGTGTACACTCAACCCACGATTTCATTTAGCTTTATAAAAGTTTGTTTCGCGGGTGTGTAACTTCACAAATCTCTAAGAATGCCAAATGTGGCAATAACTCTCCGTTGTATTATGATAACATGAATATATTGTATCATTTTCTCTGTATATCATTTCACTCGATTTCGGTGTTGTCTATCAAAGTGTGACCGTTTCAAAGTCCATGCAGGTAAAGTGTTCTATAAATAAACATTTCTATTTCCCCCTGTGTTTCATGACGATAAGGTTCAACGAATGGATTATTGTGACAACAATATGTCACCGATATCAGAGATGTTATCGGAGTTTTTGAAGGCCGTCAATCACGGTGTTTCCCCTGGGCGAACTCTCGCTCCCCTCGGGGCGATCTCGCAAATCAGAACCACTCCGCCAAGGAACTTGGGCAAATCTAACCAAAACGTCGAGCTCGAAAGAGAGAAAAAGAAGAAAAAAAATCACGGAATGAGAGAAAGAAGGGAGAAGAGAAATAAAAGAAATACGGTGAGTTTCTGGAACGAATTTTCGATAATTTTCTCGGTGTATTTGTCAGCAAATGAGATTAGCGGAGTTTAAGGGCGGGCCGCGTTGGGTCATACTGCCTGAGGGTTCAGCGAGGCACTGGGGACGGGCGTGGGGGATCGAGCGCCCCCTGCGCTGAAGTGTCTTCACCGGGTAACCTTTCTCGACTAGGAGTGAGATCTAGCGCTTGAGCTCGGTTGTGATAACGGCTCTGCGCGCTGACTAGGCCCTAGCCCTCGGAGGAACAGACCAGAACTTTCTATCGGGGTCTGCAAGAGGTCGCGGCTAATGCGAGCCAGGCCCTGCGCTGCGGTGTTCCCTTTACCCGAAACACAACAACGGAGGTTGCGAATTTACCGGAGCTATTCCATCTGCAAACAAGTTTGATATGCACTTTTATATTTCCAAGTAGAACTTCTGGTCATGGAGTTGTAAACTGTAGTATCAGCATCAGTCTTCTCTGCAAAACGACTGACAGGTGTAACATGGAATTACGTAGCCTATAATGCTCAGTTTGAATTTGCATTTTAAGAATATTTGGAAGCAGTTTTTCAGTAAAGTCTTTCATGTGAGTCGCTCATAATAGCACACATCCTTACTGGTAAAATTAACTTGACTTATAACAAAAATAACCATTCGTGCCCGTGGCATTTTCACGCACAGCGGAAGATTTTGTTTTTTTCTTTGTTTTTTGTTTTTTTTTACGAATAATGATCAATGCATCGTGGCAAGGACAAGGCTGTGTGCGATCTATACGGCGGGGGCGTCCTTTAAAATTCACGGTCACTTTCCTCGTGTCGCCCGTCACATCCTCGAACAAATTGCGATCGAAAGCAACGGTTGAACGTGGTACGACTGACTTTCATCGAACGCACGCTAGTCGACGATAACCAGGCAACCGAGAGGTTGTTGCATCGCTGGTTATCAGTAGCCTCACGTATATATCGCAAATCACAATGTACAGCTAGCAGGGAGGCAGGAGCGGGATGTCTCGTGGTGATCTTTTTTGTCTGTGGTTCGACTGTATTGGCTTTTTATGCATTGTCCGATTCTCAATAGATAACGCTAAAAGCGATGATCGATTCTTTATATTTCGATATCGATAACAGATAAAATAATAGCTGGACTAGTGACGGACACTTATGAACAGTAGGCCGATAACTGAACGTGATTTCGAAACTGAGTTTAACATTTTCGATTTTCGTTTCGAACCCTTTTCGTTCGATTCTGAGATATCGTTCAGGCATTGCAAACCATCCTTGAACTGAAAGGGATAATCGATTCCTTATAAATCAATATCGATTCCGGATGTTCAGGATAATTTGTCAAGGTTGAGATAACTGACATGATTGTCGGAAACTGAGCAGTTCGACATTTTCGATTCCTCCTTTCTCCTCACCCATAACCTTTTCCGAATTCCCCTGCATAATACACCTGTCACACCAAGCGTCTGCCTAGCGCTGTTCTCCATCTGTTTCCACCCAACCCTCCCCCCAAATAAACCATCACTGGATGCCACCTACTCCCCGGCCCCGATGATATCTCCGCACGCTCCGTAGACATCAATCAATGTCTCTTGTCAGTGAATCATCGTGGGCCCGGCCCACAGGCTTCTCAGGGGTGCCTCCCAATTCCTGAGATTGTCTTGAGACTTATGTCAGGGGTCCGAATTGTCTTTGTGTGATCAAGTCAGCGGCTTTCTTTTGAAAACTGCCCATTTTACTCAACTTTACCTACCAACAATCTCTTTAAAAATGTGCAGTTTGCCGATTTCATCTGTTCTCATTTTGACTGGTCTCCGCATTGTCTCGGTGAGATAAAGCTTTTCTTTAAAAGATTTCTTGCTTTACTTAACTTTACTTACCAAGAATCCTGACGAGTTCTACCTGCTCCCAGTGAGAGTTTCTTTCTCAGATCGATTGCCTTTTCAGGAGCCAAGGGACTTTTAGTTGCCTCGGAGACTGATGATGGAATTTTCAAGAGTGCTCTCATTATCTGCAGAGTTTCAAAGACGAGATGAAGATTGAGCCATTTTGAAGAGTTCTTGTTTTCAAAACAAGAATACAAGTTTGTAGTCATGTTCGACACAATTTTGGATGAGAATTTTTTGTCGTTACCATGGCAACGGATGTCTTAGTTAACGCGACCCCATGAGAGGAACCTTGCTTCTTTGTTTAATTTAATTTAGTCCATACGAATTGGAACCACTTTTTAGCCCATTTTAGATAGAAGAATAGCGGTTCCTTGATCCTGTATCATATGAACAGTTGGAGAGAAGAGGAGCTCAGAAACAGCACGGATGAAATGTCTTTGAGGGATGTTGGAGACAAAATCACTCTCCCTCCTCTTACCGAATGTGTTCTTTCTCAGATCGTTCAATCCCTTCATCCGTGACCATTATGTGACCATCATCTCTCTTTGCCTGTCACGCGAGGGCGCTGTTTTCCTTTTCCACTCGCACAGATTCCACATAATACAGTACACACATTAATGATTATGTATGGAGGACCCTTAGTGGTATATCAACATTACAGAGGAAGAGGTTGTGACAAAAGTAGGAGTAAATGAAACACCGTTTATTTGCACCTTCAGTTAGGAAAAGGGGGCAGAGTTGACAAAGAAGGGGTTCATTTCTCTCTCTGTCTAAGGCCGCAGGGGATCGAACCGCTGACACACGACTTCCGTCATCGGGACTCGAGGCATCAATGGCCCGGTCTGTTCGTGGGGGCGACAGGCGGAACTTGGGGACCCAAATCCGGAGGGGGACTTAAAGTGGAAATAAAGCTATGATTAAGATTCTGATTTTGGTGTATTTTTGGTTTGATTATCCCGGAGTCCTTGGGGATGATGCACGACTTCCTGCCGATTCTAGCGACGGTGGAAACCAACGAGCGACCTCGCCCAGGGGGCCAGGGAAGAACCTCGGTGTCGACTCTGTTTATCGGTTGGGGACAGAATTTCGGATAACAGGACGAAAACTGTATAATTTCGACTTTGAATTATCCTCCCCCTCCTCTCATATCAAAGGAGATTTACTCCTTCCTTAAAGTACGTCCACCGTTCCTTCATATCGACATGCGTTCTTGCAAGACGGCTTCGTACAAATCAAAGTTGTGGCTAAGTTGTCCGGCATTTGCATTTAGGCCAATGTTTCTCCAAGCATTTTCCCGTCATTAAAACGATGACGGGGTTCCAGACAAAACAGTTTGCATTTCAGCATATGTAGATACTTTTTAATGTCGATAGGAGTAGGTTGGTGCCTTGATAAGGGAAATATGAAAGATAGATTTAGGAGATAATTATCATCATTGAACTGCAGTCGCATATTTTTGGAAGAAATTGCTCACGGTTGTAATGCAAGTTTCCTTACTCGATTCCGTTTCATTATAGAACCCACGATTCGTCATAGCGATTAATTATGCCAGGAACAAGGATCATTGTTGATTATAATTGAATTAGTGTTGAAGCATCAGATAGCTTCCGGGGTATGGGTCAAAGGTTACGAGAGTACTTTGAGAATAGCGCCCTCTATCAACTGTTCACAGCTTGATTACTGTGTTGACCAGAAGAAAGTAAACAGCAAGTGGAATCTGGACTGTTATAGGGCTTTTCCCTTCCTCCCTCGAGTTCTGTGCAGGTCATTGCTTCGGTTCTGTCAACTTTCCCGTCTCTTTGGAGTGCTTAATCTATGAGCAATATTGCGAAGTTTCAGACGGATTATCAATTTGCCCGCATTTCCTGTCTAGTGGTTGAAGTGGGGGGGGGGGGGGGGGGGGGGAGGCCGGGACGCGGGTGCCACACACTGCTCTCGTGAATAAAGATGACCGTGCATCATAAAGCAAGGTATGAATGGTGTCCTCTTGTCTTTGTAATGGGGACAAGGTGGGTGTGATGACTCGGTCCTGCCCGGTGGCATGTGAGGGGTGCAGTCGCGAGGGGGATCCACCCAGAATTGGCTAGGAAGGGACTCTATTTAGTGGCTTATTCATCCCTTGTCTTAACAGCCCTTTTAAAGTGATTCGCCTGACAAAAGACCTGTCCGAAATGTTGATTTAGGGGAAGTAAAGTTCGGTGCCAGAAATCCACATTATTATTCCTTCTGGTGTGATGTCATTCTAATAACAATATGTATACTTGCTAGACCGTAATGAGGAATAACCCCCAGGGTCCAAATGTCGTACACCTGCGACAAATATGCATCCAGCTTGTTTGTCTTTCGTGGAATTAGAATAATTGAATTATTGATGACCATAGACTAATACTAGAGCATAACTGCAACATAAAAATACAAGCATTTAAATTACGACAATAAGAGTGAAAGAAGGCAATAGAAATTTTCTGACCAAAGACAATTTTTGGAGAAAATCTTTCATCGCAAATAGCATCTGATTTTGTTTGGGGTAAAATTTTTTTTTTTTTCTCCCCTGACCTACTGAATCAAAATATGCATTTCAATATCGTTCAGAGAGTTATCGATTTTCGTGGGACCACAATCTGCTGCGGTTTAGCAATTGTTACTTTCAGATACATCGCCCAACACACAAGCAGTCGGCGCGAGTCCATTAAAACCTGGACTTTGCAAATTGGATCCATTTAGGACATCTGCATAACAAACAAAAAATGACAAGTGGTAGCATTCTTTAGAATTACTCTTTGTTTGAGGGTTGCGTTTCTCCGGAAAAAAATAGATAAATTTGAGTATAGGCCTTTCATTTAAGAATAACTTCGAACATTAATATAAAATTTAAACCATAAATAATACATGACATATAATTGTGCTTTATTTTGATGAACGTCGAAAATTCGAAGACTTTCAGAATTGTATTAATTAGTAATTTTAATAAACGTATATATAATTACAGTTTGGTGTATACGGCTTGTTAGAAGAACATGCTCAGAAAACATAATCTTCTTATCATGTTGATGTTTGTGTCCAAATCGTATCAGGTAACCAGGCATGCGATTTTTTAGACGTTTGTCTTAAATCAGACTTTTTGAATCTAAGAGAGTGACTTTATTTTATAAGTAGGCCTATATAGCAATATGCATCTTTCAGACATTCCATCAATTTTCAGACTTTTTTAAAAATTGGCAATCTCATCCCTGAAAGTGACTCCTGTGACAAGCGGAGTGTGACAAATGACACCGTTGACAGCGGTCAAGAGGTATGGAGGTAACGCACCGAGACACCTCAGCAAACTACCCGGGCATGCAGCGCCTGACAACTCCTGCTGGTATACCTCGGACCATTTCGGCGATCTCACTTGAAAGTGATCAGTGAAACGCAAAGTTTATCGGGCCAGTCTAATAAAAGTGAAGATAAGTTGCTTACTCAGTCATGCCCGACTGTGACTGTTAAGTGAAATGTGCAGGCGCCCGCTACCTTGAAATCCGCCCCCCCCCCCCAAAAAAGGGTGAAAGCAGTCCCCTCCCCTTCCTGAAATAAAAATTAACTGAGTGTAGCAGGATAAAAAAAAATGAGGTCGTGGTGTTTAAAGTTTCATAGTGTATAATAATTAATATAAAAAGTGATGGGTATGTCAGGCAAAATCAAGTACATAAAAGTAAAGGGTAGCACTTTAAATGACTAACTGGAATGAAAGTTTGCATAAGCTTTCGTACAACAACTACTTCAAAGTGTGCAGACAGAGGCTCGTCCTCAACCTTTGACCTTTACATCCGGGCCGTTGCCATTTCCGCAAACCCAACCTACGTTTTGTTCTCTTCTTACTAACGTACAATTTCCAGTGAATTCCCAAAGACGACAGACCCTTTTAACTCCATACAAAATAGAATGCATTATACGCCAATGGCGTAGGGCCCATATGGAATACAGCTCTTTTTTTACAGCTCACAAATCACGACAGCGGATGCAACACCAACGCATATTCCCATATGTGGCCTCGGGGTACCAGACGACTCATGCCGTATAAATAGACAATCCCACAAACTCGGGTATACAAATGCGAACTATGTATCCAGCGTTATTTCTACGGCCATTTTAAAACTGATATCCATAGGCAACAATGTTAGACTCTCAGGCCCTCGCGCAGTCACACGTTCGGGCGTTCTCCTGCGAGAAATCCCGAGGTTTTATGACGCAAATTGGAGATTTCCTGAGATTTTCCAACGACTTCCTTTCCGGTTGTCACGGGGGGAACCAAAGCCGGCCGAAGGACATCTCGGAATTTACCCGTCACTTTCTTTAACTGGAAATCGAATCCCTGCAGTCAAAATGTCGATCCTCTTGTTAATTCTTATAATTTAATATCGGTTATAGTAAAAAAAATGTACCATGTACAATTAATTCCAGTCTATAAGACACACTTGTCAAAATATTCGTCCAAAAAAAGTACCCAAAGCAGTAAAGTGCGATTCGTAATTTTGTATCAAATTAGTATTTTTAAAAACCTAATTGAGAAGACGTACAAGAATAACTGTTGAGCAATTTAATACACATAAATCACATGAGATTGGTTGACACTTGCCGGCAAAAAGAACAATGAAGACGCGAGGCTGAATGAGAACACACCGACTCAAAAAGAAAATACCCCAACGTAAATTGACTAAGAAAATGGCCAACGCCCCAGTAAGTTTTCCCTGCAAAGTGCACCAACAAGAGGCTTCTAAGTTTTGAATAAATAATTAGCATGCGATTACAACAATGCCGTGCATGCATTACGCGTGGTGCATGACACGTTGTCTTACAATCATCGACCGTGATTCGTTGTTTCTGAATTAAAATACATGATACAAAATTGTCCATGCATAATCAGGAACCACAAGCCACTAAATGTTTCCAACGAACGAAGTTTGGAGCCACAGAAACTTTGTTTTGTTTGTTTTGAGGTTGCAGCAAAGCCGGAAGGAAGAGCACTCCAAAACTCCCCGGTTGATAGGCCATGTAATCGGGAAGTGCAGAGGGGGTTTGGTGTCACCTTTCCAACCCTGAATTTGGCCCTGGTGAACCGCTAAACTGGCCTCTTCGTTTATTCGCTGGCACATTGCTGGTGATTCAGTGATTTTCTTCCACGAATTTGATCATTTGTGTGAGGTATCAGATATCCTTTATACGCACGGTCGTATTTCGGGTTTTTTTCTGATAAAAAAATTAACACTAAAATAACAGAACAAGAAAATATGATTTTACACGATTGAATGTAAACATTTAATTGGGAAAAGAAGTGTGACAAAAAGATTTCAGAATGGATATACGAACGAACTTTGAACTTCGTTAATTTGAAATAACGTCTTCATGAAGCAGTCCCACGCAGGTTACAGTATCACGTGATCATACATAGAGGACAGTGAACTTTCAAGTACATTTCCTGCCTGTTATTTCCTGAAGAGGGTGCACTCTTAAAACTTTATTTACAAACAAAGGGAGGCATCTTTAGCCTGGGAACCAGACCTTTCATCTCTCAAGTTCCTTTTTGGTAACTAGTGAATCTGTTCCCAAAAATATGCGAAATGTAGACCCAAAATTAGCGGAATTGCGGAGAAACTTGAACTGGACAGTGCGCCTGTTTTGGCACCCGATTGACGCGCGCCTTATACGGTCATAATCCGCTACGGTCAGGACGATTTCGTTCCCAGGGTCATGTCACAAAAAATCCTCCCACCATTGTGCCCACGGTCCCACTGTCTCACCATGGTCTCACCATAAACTGTTACCGCTCTCCCAGTGTGTCTATATGGGTGTCCTGCTTTGCTTTTCAGCGGGGCCTCTCCGTGTAATCTTCTCGATAAATCAAGCGGCGCGTGCCAGGCTCGTTGCCCCCGCGCCACGTAACCCTTGGCACCCGTGACCGCTCGCGTGGTGGTCAAATAGGGAGTGATTGACACGACGGCTCTTTCGTGTCTACTACAGGACAGTGTTGCTTTTTCTTTTTTATTTCAAGTTAAGAGAGGTTTTTGCAAGGGCAAGTAAGATAAAGCAGTGATACCTTTTAGATACAGAATAAAAGTACAAATAAGGTAATGGTTGTCAAATTTCGTTAAAGACTGCTATCACGAAAATATGAAGTTATCGACCCGTTCTTCAACCATTTCTTGGTTGAATGGAGGCAGGTTCATGAGTAGATAAACTAGTGCTGGTATTTTAAGAGCGACCAGTATTTACAAAGCGTTTTTCAAATAACAACATATATTTTTCCTATTCCTTCAATGCTTCGACAATCAGTGTTTCCAAAATTCAGAAAATGCTGTGCCCATTGTATTCATAGACGACTCTTGAATCCTACTTAATCTACTTACCACTTCCCTGTCCAGAGAACAAATCTTTCAAAATTTTTAACAAAAATTTACAAAATGTATACAATATCGCCAGCAGGCGCAGACCCGCGGTATGCAACAGCCGTCGGAATCTCACCCTGCGCGCGTGTACCCGGATTTTTGTCTTAGCGAAGCCAGCGTTATTATTATGTGTGTGTGTGTCCTGTTCCCCCGTTGGGCTGCTGTTAGTATTGAAAATATCCCCCTGGTCCCTCGGATCCATTAGAGCAAGCGGGCACAGCCGACAGAACAAGGATGCAGATGCTGGCACCGGTTTACGCAACAAAAGGTCACTTCCTTTTTCGAGACAGAAAAAAATAATAATGGCGAATGTGGAGGGGTAGTTTAGGAAGAAGGAGGGGGGCTTTTTGTGTGTGCCAACAAGACAGTTCATCACATATGCACATGTATGGAGGCCTTTTATCTGTCCTTTTTTCTTCTTCTTTTGAAAAGGATTACGTGGAACATATTGTAACTGGCAATGTCACTGGAGAATAATATTAATTGACGATTTATGTGGGCATTTGGGTTGGCTGAATTGAGGCACACGGGGAACTGACGCGGAACATGTCGTGCGGAGCACTCATGATGTGAACATGCACTGGTGAAAAATGTGAAACGGATAACTGCTTTAATAATTTGATATTCTGTTGTGCTGTCCCGCTAAAGTTTGTGTGAAATTTGTGAGAGTTTCTGTTCTAGTTTTTCGCCCTTACAAAACCAAAATAGGTGTTAAGATTCTGTTCCGAGTCTGTGAAACATCCTTTTATATCCACAATAAAACTGCAAATTTAAATTTAAATTTTGTAATTCATTTCACGGTATTTATGACAACTTGTTACATATAATTTACTCAGGATTTTTTTTCTAATTCAAGATAAACTACTAGACAATTTTGACAGAGTTATTTCTACTGTCTATATGACTAAAACTGAAATAATACTATTCGCCATCTGTTCCACTCGGTGGACTTTGGAGTTGAAGAATTGTTGATAACAACAAACATTCCCGATAACAAATAAAAGCAATATCAACAGCGAAAGGCTTTGTTTTATTATCACGTTTTATTGGCGGCTAAAAAACACACAAATACTATCCAAATATTAAGTCGAGACCATTAACATATCGCATTGCTGAACTGTTTTCTCATATCTTTTTCCAGTGTAGCAATTTACCATACAGTAAGCTCAATAATTAAGGGAGTTTTTCGTTTTGTTTTAAACGCTACACAATAGTCTGTTTCCAATTTCAATAAATCACAAAAATATATATATCTACTCATATAAAACAAATCATTCTCATTTGCAGTCTGGCAATGATATGTTCGTTTTTAAAGCTTCCTCGTCATTGTAAAACATCCTTGCCAAATTCCCCGGTTTTTGCAAAACATCATTGCAAAATTCCCCGATTGCATGTCACTGTTTTTGTTTCCCCATTATGGGACTGATGGTTACGTCATAATTGTGTGCATGTGACACGTACTAACAGATGATATGCAGCGAGTGTTTTCGTTGTGCGTTGCCAAACTCGCTGGTTCCCACTATATACCGCACCCCAGGCGTCATGACGCATTGTCATGTGATTTTTTTGTCTCGTTGGCTCCGGATCCCAAAAGTTAATCCCAACGCATCTAGCCAACAAAGGGAGTTATAACATCGAGTCCTGATGTTGGCAAGATACGGGTACTCCCTTTGACAAAACACTGTCTTTGAAAGTTTTTCAACTTGCATTTCAAAAAAAAAAAATCGTGGAAAACGAAAAGGGAACCTTTGCAATGCCCAACTCAATTTACACTTCAATTAATTACTTTCTAGAGATGGGATGCACACATAATGCACACTTAATAATATACAAGTCAGAAAAAAAACAAGATTAGAACTACTTTAAAACATCATTTTCACAAAATGTAAAAACTATATACCAATGGAGAGATGAAGTTTATTTGTTGACAAAATAATTACAGAGCAATGACTTTTTTGTCGAATCTCGGGATGAAAATTATTTATTCATTGCGCAAAGTATTAAAACGATCGCAGATTTTATTTCACCTGATTAAAAATCTCCTGCCGAGCATTATGCGAGAAGTAAGGGTTAGGGGGACCTTCGTCCCCCACTGACAACCGGAGAAGAGAAGGAGAAATTGTATGATTTCCCGGAGAATGACGGAAGAAAGAGAGTGCGTGTCTGAGAGACAGTGGCAAGGCCACAGTTGATGAGGCTGCCTTATCCAACCCGCCACTCCAAAAACAGAATCCACGGGACAAAGAGTCTCAGCTAATTAGCTGGAGCGGCCGTAAAGAACGGGGGCCGTGGAGGTCAATAAGGCACCCCTTGCGTCGACTCGAGTTGGACCGCTCAACCCTCCCTCTCTCTCAGTCCCCGTCTTTCCCCCCTTTTCCCGTACTTCGTTCCCCCCTACTCCATCACTGGTCTACAATGCCCGGGGCAGCGCGGGGGAAAACCGAGGTGCCAGCTTCACGTTCCCTATCCCCCCCCCCCCCCCCGAGTGAACAACTCATTATCATTCGTCAGTCAGAGCGCTCTTCTTATTTTTTATGTATTTTTTTTTAGAGTGAGTGTGTGTGTACCCCGTTCGGCAATTTATAGTGAACGAGTCGACCAGACCGCGGTAGGATCGGGGTACGAGAGCACACCCGCCGGCAGGGACCCGTGAAACCACTCGCCCATCGCATTTAGCAAGCTGAGCTGAGTCGGTACGCACAACGCTACACATACACACCACTACAATCCGACCACACTCCCCGGCGCTGTACCTCCATGACGTCACGAGCGGAACATCTCTTGCACCCCTACGCATGCTCAGAGAGGGGCACGGCTAAGTACCCTCCACGAAAAAACAAAGCCTTTGTCAGTCACCTCCGCCGTATCGATTGAGCCAGGGTCGGTACCGCAGTGTGCCGTCAGAGTTTGCTTTGCCCGTGTGCTCACTCTCTCTACCCCTTGTACGTACCGCTGGATATTACTCGACAACACTCCGTGGTCGCTCCAGCCCTTTACCGATATCCACGCACCACACGGCTACCCGCAGCACCCCGTTGTCGACCCATCAGAGTTTCCCCTTCACGCGCTGGTCACCAAAAAAAAACACAAGGATTTCACCGGTGATTACAGCTGGTCGTCACCTCTGGAACAGACAAAATCAAGACGGGCTGGGAGTTTTCTTAGGGGTGCTCCGACGCTGTGCCTTTGGACTTCAACATAAGACAAGCGTATTGGACTCGGCAAGTCAGCATCCAAAATGTGGAAGAGAGGTTTGAGACGTAAACCACACGCTAAGGCAACTGAGGTAATGTGCTATGACGTAGCAAGATAGTAGTACCAATTTATTCACTCGGGTCTGTGTAATACTCTAAACGGTGCATCTATGGTGCAAGTCATTTCATGTAATCTGGCTGTTGTGCTGATGAACGTAAAAAAGGAAAAAATCTGCCGAGATGTCATTCGATCTCGATTCATTACACACAGCTGGAAAAATACAAAGAAAATACAGCGAGATGGAGGATGTTGTCCTCCCTGCCTCCCCACCGCATCTCTTACTGTCTCCCCCACCCTGTCTATTACTGCTCCTATCACTATACGTCATCGTTAAGTTCAACTCATACCATGTTGAGGGAAAAAAAGTATTGTTACCCAACATGGGCGGTCGTTAGAAATAATGCTAATTTAAGGAGAGATTAATTCCTCGCCAAACACACCATCCTCGGTCGAAACCCGGATAGAAATTCCACCCGCTGCATCGATGCGCTTTGGTGTATAGCCTTTTAAACATGGCGGCCGAGCGGGTATAAAGACGCCGTAATTAAACCCGCCAACGACACCCCTCCGAAAAATAAAACCCCGAAATATCCGAACCGGAATTTTATAATCACGGGCGGCAAGGATTCCATTTATATTCCGGGGGTAGGTGGGTGATGTTCCCCGGAATAAATGGGGGAATTATGGCCGGGGCTGGTCGCGGGAAAGGGGTAGAATCGGCGATCCATATGGACAAGATAACGGGGAAATTCGGTTGGCCATAGCGGTGTGGGTACAGGACCCGATACAGCGCGCGCGAGGGTGCGGCGCAGTCCCCGCTATATAGTAATTACCATCTGGCGCGCATTATCGTTTGTCTGTCATTCCTGGATCCTCATTCATATGCAAATACATGCGATCCAGTACCGGGGGAGGTTGAGATGAGGGGAGATTTAATATCTCTGTATATTCGCATTGCGCGCAGGTCATTTTATATTTTCATATTTTCTGTTTTTGTTATTCACACTCATAATAATCCGGAGGTACACGGTGAACGTAGAAAGCAATACAACTCGCAACGACAATCGCAAAAAGGCCTTGGATTTGTGCACGTACGTGTAAAAACCCATATATATTTTTTAGCGAGGACCTGTATTAATAATTTCCATTTTTGTGGGGGTCGTCGCCAGTGCCAGTTTTTTCCCTAGCCCTAATTTATTGCTAACCAACAGAGTCTGAAAATATCGGTTTTCGTGTGAGTGGACTTTAGCCGGCAACGCAGGGGTGTGTTTCGGCAGTTTCGTGTGGGCAGAGAGCGGTGCTAATTACAAGCCAGGATTATTTGTTTTCGGAGTAATTCATCCCCTCACACCCAGTTTTTTTTCGTTCCCAATTAGATGTCCACGTCACCTGCTAATCCACCCTCGCCCTCCTCAACTCGGAGTCATCACAGAAACATCCCTTGTTGGATGATGAACACATGTCATGTATAATACACGTATACACATTATTATCCATCGCGTGTGTGAGTTGTGTGTGTGTGTAAAATTTTGGAAAAATCCTCTCGGCCAAATATGTAATGTGTTTTGTTAGTTGGCGGATGACCAGTTTTGCCTCGCCGCATAATTATGATTTTTCCCCCCGTTCCAGCCTTCGCCCCTTGTGTCGAGGTTAAGCCCCTGCGACTACAAAATGCGGGTCTATTTTTTCGGCAGTGTGTAGGGGGGGGGGAGACGGGCAATAAGCATGAGGCGAAACGGAAGGGCGAGAGAGGTTCAATTTTTCGTAGAGGGGGGAAAGATTTTCGTAGAGGGGGGAGAGAGGGGCGCAAGGAGGGACCACCGACGGGGGAGAAATTATGATGAGGAGGGACGGGGTGCGAGGATGGGGGAGGATGATGGTTTGGATGCAGCGCGGAGGGCTAGGGAGGGTACCATGTAGACTTTACACTGGACGCAGATTTCATGACTGGATATTTTGACCCCTAGTCGAGACAACAACTTTTATAACAACACAATCACAGAAACTGATCAAGCAGATCTTCAATTGGTGAGCTTGGGAAGACACTTTATACGAAAAATTAGGCTACATTTTTTTGTTTGGTCATGAAGTGTGCTGTATTTTTTCTGAAAAGATAAATCGCAAGTCGCAAATATTCATGGTGTTGAAAGCAAAGATGCGGTTGATATCAACTATGACCTGTTTATGTTTGCCTGAAAACAGTTGAACTGAATTAAGTTTTACTTTCAGCTTGGTATAGAGGGAATCAGGAACAAATTCCCCCTGAAATCACCGTCATGTGCCGGATGATGAAAGGGAGAATTGCATTTAATGTTTAGCTTCAAAAGGGGTATATAGACAATCTTGGAATTACCTTGGAAACATTTGTCCACTGTATTTTTCCTACAACGATAACAACTTGGCTGCAATTGTTTTTTGAAGAGTATTATTGTTCGCTGTTTGTGCATCGGGGAGAGAAATAAGATAAATATTCCGTTGAGTTAGCTCTGTATGTGGATAGATTTGACGTATTAACTTTGGAGACACGTCACTATCGCTTTCATACGAATAGAAAACATTGTGTAGGTTGCACTCGGTGTATCGGTTGAGCTCGATGTTTAAAGTAGCTGTTTAAAATTCGTCAAGAATTTTCTAATTTAGGGGGATCCATGGGGCCACCATTAGGCCCACAACTGACGGAGCCTCTTCCTCGGTCTTTGTTGTATCAGCTAATGGTTTCATTAATGTAAATGTTTGGCGAGTGATTGAGCTTGGAAAACACCCCACAGGAATAACATTAACAAAAACCGTCAAGCGCTTACTTACACTTTTTCCTAAACCATTTTCCTGAGAATTCCCTTAAAAATGGTGTAACGTTTTAGATTTTTTTTTCAATAAAATTTCCAAATATTGGCTGAATCAGGTTCTCAAAGAAATGTATTCCTTTATCGGAGAAAACACAAAATAAGTAACGGTCTATGAATTAACCACCCCAGCTTCGGTTTATGATACAACTTCTAAGAGCGCAAACTGAAACTTGACTGTAAAAAAAAAACTCCCAACAAAGTTTTTGGAAGGCATGCATATGGACTGGTGGAATAGATAATGACTATTACCACACTGAAGAGGACTCGAAAACTAAAAAAAAAGGACAATGCCTTTAAACTCCCCGATAATATGGACACGGAAATACCCCGTTTGATTGTCTTTATCTGAGGCACCATGCAAGATAAACGCGGACCTTGCAAAGAGAACATATCGGTTCCTCTTTCGGGCTGTCCTGCTTTTGTGTTTGGTGCGTTTGTGAAATCCCCTACCGAGTCTCGATGCGTTTCCCCCCTTTATTTGACGGAACAATTCCCACCCAAGTTGGTTTCTGATGGTGCATGTACTCTTAGCGCCAAGGGGATGGACAGATTCGTTTGGGGAAAAAAAGAACGGGGTAATTCTGAGGAAACTTTTCTTCCAATTTCTTTTTGTTCCGTTCGTTTGTTCCAACGTCATAGTCCCATGATGTAAATTGCGCGATAGTCGGTTACAACTTTGCGCAATAACAATGCACGTTTCCTCTTCTGGGCCTCATAACTTCTCGGTCTCGTAGATTGCGGCAATATTTTTTTTATAATCTTGTGTGGTTTTGGGTCGATCCAGAACGGATCCTTTTATGATTTTAGAAGGAAGGGACAGGGTTTAAATTTTGCCAACCGCATGAACGAGAAAAACAGGCTTGAGAAAGTTTGTATTAAAAAAAAACAAATAGCCGTGAAAAAAGTCTTCGTAAATTTTCTAAGTTGAAAGAGTCAAAGTTTTGATTAAGAAAGTTCACACGAACATTTGGAAGAAAGAAAAAAAATGGACGTTATTTTTTTTACCATGATAAACCACTTAGAGATAATGAGACTTTCTTTGTAACTTTGGGATTGCAGCAAAAATCTGTTGGATGAACATAAACTAAAAAAAATGAATACTAATTAGGTCGCCCATCGTTTTAATCTCTAAAATATTTTTGCATTTTGTTGAAGGGATGTTCCGGAATTAATTAACAATTCCCTGTGATTGTTAAGCGTCTATTAAAAACAAGATTAGACCAAACTTCCAAAATATTTTCTTTCTAGAGTATTTCCTTGAGAAGGGTTTGGGATTTATTACATTTTTTATTCAATCTGCTTTGGAAATGATTTGTCCTCGGTGTCGGAGCATAAGATTTTTTAGGGTTAAAACCACGAGGCTTTGGCAGAGCGAGGGGGCAAAGCAAATACTCTGTAAAGACCGGTGCACGGCTTGGGAATTTATACGGGACACAGAATAAGGCACCTTGCAACACAAACTCTCCAAAATAATAAGACAAATTCCACAAAGATGGATCATATTCCCGCGTGTTATTTTATACTGTGGCAAGCCTTATTATTACTCTCACCTTCTTATGAATCAAACTCCCTATAGTGAAAATACCCGTGCAACGGTTTGGTTGGGAGATGAAGTGACTTTCATTCGAATTTTGATTTCCAAATCACATAGTTGACGCAGTATAAAGCTAATCTTCATCTTTACCGGGCTAGCTTTTTTGGAAAGAATGTTGCATCTTGACGCCATTTTATTCATTACATACATTATCTCAATGAAGGTCATGCAGTTTATATTGCACAAAATGTTGAAAAGACATGAATCTGGGACTGAGAAACATTTCCACTAATTGTTAGGAAATACTTTAAAAATGCACTCAACTCTCCATATAGGAGTGGCGTCTGGATACTACATTCTTTCTACCTTTTTTTCCAATGCAAAAATGTTCCAACCTTAAAACAATGCCCCGCTTTAGACAAAACAGGGTGCAGACGGTCAAAAGATCAGCACCCTTGAACATGGGAATGTGCTCCCTCGGAGTGCCTTAGGGTAAACGCTTGGGGTGTAAAAATTAGTCTTCAAATGTGTTGCCATCGAAGCAGTGGTATACGATCAGAAAGAAATATCACGAAATAATATTCAAGACTTCCGTCCAATTTAAAATCGTTTTTTTTGTAGATGTTTTTGCAACCGAAGGAAATCAAAGTA